GTTTTTTCCGTTTTATCAAAATTTCATAACCTTTAAAAGCAAGAAAACCACTAAAATAGAGAAAAACAGAATCCCTAAAGAAAGTCCAACACGCCAAAATTAAAAATGTTGCAGGCTCGGTTTGATTGAGCCTGTTCATGGACGGTACTGGAAAGTGCAAGTTACCGTCCACGCCCCCTAGCACCGGCTTAAGCAGAATTCAACATTAAACAAGAAAATGGTGAAATTTGGAATTTAGAAACATCCGCACTAAGCCTTCAGTTGCAAAGAGCCGAATTTATCGATGAAACAATCACAAGTTTTGGCAACATCTCATTCAATACGTTCCTCCTTTAAATGTCAATTAGTTGGACAGTTTGATATTCAATACCTTATGAAAAAAAATTCAAAGAATTTCAACCAGCATGAAGATAATCAAGATTATTAGTTAAATGTATCATTTAACCTAAAAGAAATATCGGACTTAATAAATGCATACTATCAATGTTATAATGTTAATTCGACAAGCTGTGTAATTTTAAAAACAATAAATCTACATTGTATTTTCAAATCATAAATTCTGCATCGTGTTTGATTTTATTGCTCCCTCTTTATATAATCGTTTCTTTATTTCTTTTCGAATTAATGGTACCAACTTTACAAGTTTAACTGTTATAAATATCTTTAAATATTGTTGTAAACTTGTGTTTAATTTATGTTGAACAGGGCTTTCAAAATGAGGGGGGGGGGGATGTTTGCTCAATTGATTACTGATTTTAATAGTAATAATTTCAAATGAATTTAAAACTTTTCAAAAACTGTTTTCAATACCTTAAGAGACGTTGATATTGAAGAATAAGTGCGTCAATTGATTTCTCTTTAATTCCTCTTTTATTTTGTTTGTTGTCATACAACCCACACAAATTTTATAGCTGTTATATACACAGTCTGTCAAACATAACTTTAATAAATCTTATTTTAAACTAATAAAACTACAATTATATCTATTTCACAAAAACGAGAGCTTGCAGAAAAGGATTATATCAAATATATCATTTCTTGTTTACAAAGACATGTAAAGTCAAACCTGGTTTAACATGAAATACATTGTTATTTGTTTATAGAGCTTTTAATCGTAATAGATCTTTCATTGAAATACGCCTGTAAACATACGAGAGCTGATATATTTAACAATCTGAAAAGTGATCTTTATATTTCATTTCCTGTCAAGACAATGGCATACCGGCTATTAACATAAAATGGACATTAAACCAGGTATGCGATTATGGTAATTTACATACCCGAGGTGTATCTCTTTATAGGTTAAATAAAAGTTTTACCTTCAATTATACGAGGGTTGTTCAAAAAGTAATAAGACTAAGAGTCTTATGTTTCCATATTCCATTAGATTTTAAATATTTTCATATCCACGGCAATAGTAAATTGTTTTCTACAACTTCAGCATAAGTTTATTGAAAATTTGCGCTAAACGCGTGTTCCCTGTGATATTAAATAACCATAGTAACACGCACCCGGCGCAGCGCATCAAAAATATTTTGACGCTAATTTGTACTTTCAGTTTATTCATAATATGTTGTCTTTTCCCCCTAATATTTCACCAACATATTTTATCATATTAAAGTGTCATGTTGTCATAATTTGACGTCATTCAGACAAGAAATCGCTAAACTATAACGTTTTGAACAGCAGTGATAATAGCGTTAAATGTAGAAAAATGACGTTCGTTGAAAAACTTAAAATGTGTACGATCATTAAATTTTGCCAACAGATAGGCCCTACTCCTTCAGCTACGTATGAAAAGATTAAATTTTCACAGAACAATAATAAGGGAATAGGGACACTCGTTTTCAGCTGGGGAAAGCAGTTCAAAGACGGTGAATATGAGATCACAAACACGAAAGGGCTAGGGAGAAAGCAGAAAATTGACGGACGTTAGAGACGTTAATTGCAATAGCGCTACAAAAGTATCGGCGATATACAGTCCGCGAACTGTCCGGCATGTTTGATGTTTGCATCGTGTCAACTGTTTCAGTTCTAAGAAAATTATTGAATAGGGGAAATTTGTTTTAAACACTATTTTATTTTATTAGATATATATGTGTGTGTGTGTTATCATTGAATAAATTTGATAATGATACGCGGTAATTATTGGTATCAATTTTTCTCGATTTCGTTTAATAAATGATAGCCTGTGCTCAGAAGAAGAGAATATTTTTCAATTATTAGCATTTTTAATTTACTGTACATAATCATATTGTTTTAAGAATGTAAGATGGCAATGCCATGTGTAAATAAATAATATAAATCACTTTGTCATTTACATTATATGTCCATGCCCATTTAGCTTCCAGAATACTCAAAATCACGAGATAAAACCAAAAGTTGCCGGCCAACGGGCATGTTTCGAATAAAGAAATAAAAATGTGATTGCTTTTTTTCGCTACATCTCCAATGATGAGTTCTGGTTACAGTTACATGATCCAAGCACCTAAAACATTGTGGAGAATAATTTCAGAAAGAAAGACGCTGTTTACATTTTGAATTTATTTTGCGACGTTATGAACGTCATTTATTTAACTATTAGCGTGCGCCGGGTCGCGTACCCCTTGTCATTTGTAAGTTGTACAGAATTGTTGTGTTTAAACATATTGTATTGATTTTTTCACTGTATATAGAGGACAAGTTCCGATATTCGATTTTGTAATCTCGTGTACGTAGATGAAAAAATGTGAACAGTAGAGCTGCAGTCCTATTACTTTTTGAACAACCCTCGTATATAGCCTTTACATTGAACGTTGATCTTGTTTTATTGGCGACGCCGGTGAGCGGCGTCGTCTATTATGGAACGCTTTTTATTTTTGCCTATGGAAGGAGCTGTTATTATTAGCAGTTAATTTCATGTTGTGTTAATTAGTTTTATTTTGATTCGTAAAAATCAAGTAAACAAATGTGTTATTATATTTGTATTTAATAACTTTTTATAAAAAGCATGTGCATTGTGATATTATTTTCACGAAATTTCAGGTTAAGTTTAACAGCTTGTCCCTTAGTTTTAATGACAATACTAAAACCCGGATTTTGAATATCGTTGTGGTCTAGATTGAGGCCGTATCAGTTCATTCATTCATTTATACATTTTCAAAATTTTCCTACAAGAAGAAAGTTCACCTGCAATTGAGTATAAGGATAGGTAATGGAACTGTTGTAAACGATTATCCTATTGATTTTATCCTTATTACATTTATCTGTTGCGCAGAATGGTTGTTTTTACAAAGTGTACCAGTATCCGGATGTTGAAAGCTATCCGATTTTCTGCAATTACTGCTGACACATGGCCATCTATTTTTTTATGAATACATTACCATTAATTTGCATGGCTTGATAAAACTGAACCTGCAGCATTTCATAATTTTGCTGTTTAGGGTGTTCTTTTGGGTTTCAGGTTTTCTTTATTTTAAGGGGAAGTAACTCATGTTTACTAAATTATTTGTTCTTTTCTGTCTGTCTTAGGTATTACTTATAATACTATTTTTGTTGTATATAATTCACCAGTTGTAAGGTCATCAAAAGCATGTTAATGTTAGGATTTCATATTTATTTAATATAAACTGGGAATTATTAATGTTATGTGCATACATGTATATCTTAGACAGTAGTATATTGATATATTGAGACTTATATTTTCTGCATTTAAAGAGATACAGTTATGTCATTATTATTAAAGGGATGAGACTTTCATTTAAAGTTATAAATGATAAAAACATGTATTGATTGAAAATGTCCTTAAACTTGGATCAAGCAATGTAATTAATAAAGTCTCAAAAAATCATATTCTGAATAGTTATTCTATTTTTTTTTTCAACATGTGCATAGTTTGAAAAAAACAGCTTCGGTCTTATCTATTTGTAATGAAGAGACACCGGTCTCAACCTCCAGGTCTCCTGCATCAACCCGACAACAGACTGTACATAGAGTAGATTGTTACTTGCCCTTGAATAAATTTGTGCACTAAATTTATAGTGGGTGATTTGTGCCACATGAAAACCAACATAGTATAAAAAGTAACTGGGCGCCAGATGAAAACACGAAAATACAATCTACCACAAAGTGGTTTGTTTGTTGCATTTTCAGGTTTTTGCCCGGTGCCCTTGATGCAAAATACAAATCAGCCTTCGTAAAATTTCTTATGTTGGTCACAGGTTTGAGCTCTGGTCAAGCTCAAAGTTTTTCTCATCCTGTGACTGCATATAAGCATGAGTTCAATTTCCTATGCTCTGTAACATAAGAAATTCACGAACACAAATCAATATAGTGGGGAAATATGTTGTGGTTTAGAACTGTTTCATTATTAAAGAGAAAATGTGTAGCAGGCCGGATAGCTCAGTTGGTCTTCTGAAAGTCATGGGTTCGAGTCATGGTCAGGCAGTTTCAGTCAGGGTTTAGAAGTGGTTTTTCAACTGACACATGTTTGATTCATTTAACAGATTGCATTATTTGAAATGGACAAAGGCAGTATTGCATGATACTTTTAGATCTACAAAGGGCATTTGATACAGTTGAACACACTATCCTGCACATGAAGAAGTTGTTTTTCTTCTTCATGAAACTTCAAGCATCTGCCATATATAATGACATTCTTACATGGTTTAAGTCTGATCTCTGATAGCAGCTGGTTGATGTGGCTGGTACTCATTCTACTACTGCTCTGGGAGTACCTATGCTGTCCCCCTGATGTTCATTTTAGGTCCTCTTTTATGTCTAATATATGTCAATTACATGTCTTCAACCCTAAGCAATAAGCTTTTATTATAATGCACAGGCACGAGTATCAGACCTTGGAAGAAAAAATATGGCCAGATTGATAAAAAAACCTGAGTTCATCTTAAAAGTGTCAACAACCAAAATAAAATGTAAATAATGACCCCCTTTAAAAATATACTTCAAGTTGATAGTATATTTTTAAAGGGATCATTATTTACATTTTTTGTTTTGGTTTTATAAACACAGTTTTTTTATCAATCTGGTCATCTGGTCATATTTTTTCTTCCCAGGTCCGATACTCGTGCCAGTGATTATATGCTGATGACTCAGGAATCCTTGTGTCTCATAAATAAATCTGAAGAAATTCTTTCTTATAGCATAAGTCTTATAAGATTGCTTAATTGACTATAAATTGTCTTTGCATCTTGGCAAGACAGAGTCTATTCTTCTTTGGTTTAAGTTTCAACTTAAACTGGCCCTAGCCTCCAGGTCACATGTAATGGTACTGCTATAAAGTACACATCTTTTGTTAAGTATTTAGGTGCAAATCTGGATCAAATTCTTTTGGCGTCGCCCTTTGATGCTTTGCATCAATGATTTTCTTGTCATATTTCAGTAATTACAGATAGGTAATACACGTGGATATAATAATATTGTTATATGTATGACATATTAACGCTTTAATAGGGAAAATTTTCAATGTTAGATTTAATACATGTTTAAATCTTTATTCAACATTACATTGCCTTTTTATTGTTTTGTGTTATAATATTAGTGCAAAACCTTCATGGCTTGGACTGGACTGTTTGACTGTGAAGTGAAGTTTCATAAGGGATGTCAACGATTGATAAGGTATTTTTTTTATTTGTGATGAAACCTAACTTCCATCAACAGAATTTGATGAAGATAATCTTCTATAGTTTGATAACTATGACATAAAAATGAAGTTTACTTTTTATAGTTTGATAAAAGTTACATTTTATTATGATTTAACAGGATTATATTATATCGCTGTAATTGCTAGGACAGCAATATAGGATGATATACAGATCGTTTTATAGTAAAAAAAAAGAAAGAATACAGATACACACCTACCCCCACACCCCCAAAAATAATCAAGGATATTAATAAAAGCACTCTTTTATGTAGTTTGAATCTTCCGTCATATCAGAAAATATTTTAGCCGCTGTACAAATGAAATATAGGTTAATAAGTATCACATAAACATTTTATATTATATATATATTATATTTTATATTGTGCTTTCTTTTGTTTCTGATTTTTAAAACCTTTAAACTTTTCATTTTCAACATTTGACAAATAATCACTTTATCATCGAATATATTGATCTTAAAACAAATGAGCCGCGTCACGACAAAACCAACGTTATGCGTTTGCGACCAGCATGGATCCAGACCAGCCTGCGCATCCGCGCAGTCTGATCAGGATCCATGCTGTTCGCTTACAAACCCAATAACAAGTAGAGAAACTGATAGCAAACAGCATGGATCATGATCAGACTGCGCGGAGGCGCATGCTGGTCTGGATCCATGCTGGTCGCAAACCCACTATGTTGGTTTTGTCATGACGCGGCTCAAATATTAAAAACGTTCTGATTATTTGATATTAACAGTTAAAAATGAATTCATTCTGTATTTTAGATGTGAAAAACCACTACCCTTTTGAAGTTATAAAAGCTGCTGTTTATCATTCATGATATTTAATAGTAATGTATTCCTTTAACAAAAGTATAAAATTACTGCGCGAATTGATTATCTAATAAGGGAAGTATTTAATTACAAAACAACGCTAATTAAAGGACAGCATGCTGTTGATTTTTGTTACTTTTTGATGCTTTTCGTTGTTGTTTAATGTTGTTGTTCATATTTGTTGATTTTTGTAGATGAATAGGCAGAATGCGGTTAACTGGAAAAATCAGTTTGGGACAAGATATTGGATCGATTTGGCTACGCTTATCTGCTCTTTACTTCAGCGTCATGTTTGTAGAAGTTAACAATAAATCTTGAATTTACTTTCCATCTAGCAGCCATGATAAAATGTTTGTTAGCCGCAGTGTTGAGACAAATATACAAGTTCGTGAATTTCTTATTAGTTTATATTCAACGCTTAAAACTGATCAGCGATGTGATCCCGCAAATTCATAGCAAGGAATCTACTCTTACAAACCACCTCATTACAAAAAGAGGGATGTTAAATTGCCCATTCCAACCACCATTTATACTGTGCAATGGATACGTACAGACGCTTGCTGGGCTGTTTTACAAACCTTTACAGGAATTTCATTTCCAACGAGAATATCTGCAAATGAGCGACAAAGGTGCAGTTGCGTTAGACTGGTTCATTCATTCCACGGCCAAGTTAAAGCGAACCAGTCCGATTTTACTAATATTCCCTCGGCTCACTGGTAACGCCCTCAGCGTCGGCAGCATATGTAAACTCGGTGTATCTAAAGGAATGCGCCCAGTTGTGTTTAACAGGCGAGGGTACGGTTCAAGTTTGCTGTTTACATCATATCTGACAAGTATAGGAGATACTAAAGACACCAGGAGAGTTATGGAGTATATTCAAAGTAAATTTCCGTTGGGAAAAATAATAGGAGTTGGTATAGGGGCAGGGTGTACAACATTGTTCTCGTATCTTGGTGAATTTGGCTCTTCCTCGCTGATGAAAGCGGCTGTCAACATATCACCATCATATGATAACACTGTCGGTGGCAGACATATCCCTAAACTGTACGAACTTCTTTTATTATTTCATTTAAAATTCCATTTAATCTTAAAAAATTGGAAAGTGCTATGTAATTCTATTGACATAAAAGAGATTCTTATCAAAACTTGGACTCTAAAAAAGTTTGATTATCTTGTTTATTGTAAAAGTTGTGGGAAGGATTCGTTTGACTCATTTTGCCAGCGCAATGACCCAATGAGAGACGTTGATGATATAGCTGTACCTGTTTTGTGTATAAATAGTTACGATGATCCCGTGTCGGTAAAAGAGAACATCCCTTTTGACATATTTGAATTATATCCAAATTTAATATTAGTTACAGTTGATAAAGGGGGACACTGTGCGTTCTTTGAAAATGTAAAAGGTGAGTCCTGGGTAGACAGACTTGCTTTACAATACTTACAGCATATTCTGGAGTTTGTGTCGAATTCTAAATACAGATGACAGTTATTTAGAGTATTTTATATGTGTTTCACCTTTCAGAATATCACATTTAATATAAATGAAGTGTTGATAAAATAATTGTTCATCTTCTCTAACAATTGCGCTTAAATATACATGTATACGGGTTTAAACTAAAATAGTTCTTGTTTTGCTTACCTGATGCAAAAAGCAGAATCTCTTAATCCCCAAAGAAAGTCCAACACGACAATACAAAATCCATTTTTATAACTGTACTGTGTGATAGTTCAGTTGGTTAGTAAATTTCACAAAATTCACAGAAGCACGGTTTCGAAACAAACTGTATCATTCTCCGGATATTGTGACGTGATTTGGTTTACTTGTTGATCATACAGGAGGCAACGACAGGAATACATATACAAATTTATTGATAATGCACTTGCGTGAAAACACCACAATTTGCAATGTGTGAACATAAACAATTTTAAAAAAGTCCTTATTTATAACATGTATCGGTATCTTAGAGTTATGTACAATTTATATAGTTTATCAAATGTAGCCCTTCAAAAAATTTGCCGATTAGAGGGACAAAATTGTTGTTTACTGACAGAAAAATAATAAAAAAAGAGATTTATCGAAACTATGTCATCTTCTAAACAAGAATGTTTATTGCTCTTTATGATTTCTGTGATCTGATCTGTCTGTATCATTTATGCGGATTTGAATAGGTGATTTTTAATATTTGTAACGTTGAATGCCCTTAGACGTACCAAAATAGACACTGACTTAGCTACCTAAGATCGATCAATTTAATTTTATTATTTCGTTATTCTCATGACGTTGCAATGATGTTCTATGTCATTAGGAGTACTGCCACTTTTGCAAGCATTTCATAGAGACACCAAGGGGCACTAAACTCATCAAACGTGATTTAGTAGTGGGTGACATAAACGCGCGCTTTAGAGCATGTGGTACAAACAAGAAAGTTTTACCCATCATGTGACTACTACTTACGTTACTTTATCTCTGTTCCAGACTATAAATACTTAACTTTTCGAAATATATAACAGTTTAGCAGGAAAAGTAACGTGACACGCACGTGCTCAGAAACGTGTTCGCGGTAGATGTCAAATTTTCAATTTTGCTTAACACGAACAGAAACACGTATTTGAATGGATAAACGCGTTATTATGATAAAGGTTTTCCTGTTCAGAAATTAGGACTTCGTAAAAGACCGCACCGATTTTGCAAAGTCACATCACAGTAATCGTAGAAGTTCATACAATATGCATAAATATGTGTTATAATTGATAGATCTGGAGAAAGGATGATCCCTCGGAAGCATTAATTACAGCAAAATTACATGGAAATTGCGGACTCGGTTTAATCGAGTCTGTACAGGAAATATGATGAAAAAGTGCAAAATCGCTCACGCCCCCAGCACCGGCTTGAGTGGTACTCAATTGTCATTATATGAATATCTTTCATTCACATAATTACGCCTTGTAAACGATAGAGCTATCTCTTTTGGAGGTATACGGTAAATCGCTCTATCGCTACTTCCAATCTAGTGCATGTCGCTAAAATCAGGTGTCAACAAAGGTAAAGTGATGCCATTTTTTATATATTTTGTAAACTTTACACAAAATATCGAAATTCTGAGAATGCTATGCCATATAAATTTGATTAACATTTCCAGAAAACGTAAAATTGATAATTTGTTATAATCATGTATGAAATGTTGTTGCAGCGGTGTTTCCCAGTTATCGAATATAGCGTTGAAATAGATCACATTATTTTCCCTCTAATTTTCATCCAAACAGCGATTTAAATGAAAAACAAATATGTTGTTAGTAGGTATATAGTCTAGAAATCAATTAAAATTGAAATTAGATCAAAACATTAGTTATTATATTTATTCTTCGAGACAGCACTGTCATGAAGGAGGTAGACATGTCGCCAAGGAGAAAGCTCCGTAAGAAGGTTACGTACAAAGTATCTGATTGTTTGTATATATTTTATTCATTATACTTTTCACGGCGCACAAATTTAATAAAAATGAAATAATACTCATGTAATTACTATACATGTATAACGTGACGTCATTTGCATAATAAAACATTATTATTTACATGAACGGCATACTGTAGTATCTATATTCGTGTAGGTTCGATACATGAAGTATTGTACCTGGCTCATTCAATATCTTTTTAGTTCATACATCAAGAACTTGACTTAAAAATACATGTTTTATTTTTTGTACAGAACTTAAAAACACAAACATAGTAAATATTTGTCTGTTTCAGACGACTGCATATACACCGTGTATATCAACGAGTAGTTTTTTTAATGTGTCGGATACACCGAATATCAAAATCCATCATGTAATATATCCGATATTGTATCTTAAGGTAAGACGAAACTCAAAAGTCAGATCAAAATTCTCACGTATTATCTTGAAAAATAAATAATACCATGGAAATAGTTTTGATGAGAGTTCAAGTATAATGTCTCATCAACCGTATGTGCTAATTCACTTCTTTCAATTGGCTCATGTCCTTTCCGTGGTGCTCGTTTCGGCCACAGAATTGCACAATTCTTTGTTACTTTTTCACAATGCCTGCACACTGTGTTACTGGATATTCAAGGCGTTTTAAAGGAAAAAAGAAACATAGCTTTCTGACTAGATGAAAACAATTTAGATATATTGTAATAATTATTGTATGTTAGCTAAAATGGAAACTCCCAGGCCATTTAAAATAGAGAACAAAATCTTTTCAGAAACCTTTAAAACAATTTCAGCAAAAGTTCAACAAATACTTCTTGTCACAACTGTCGCATTCATATTTCTTTTCCCTCATGTGAACGGTTACTATGTGACGGTTGAAACTCTAAGGCATACTTAATAAGTGTTTACAGCAATGTACACATATTTGTTCCTGTTAGGTAATTGTGTGCGTACATTTGAAATATAAAGTCTCAGATTGTACACAGTGTATACATTTGTACAGCCTACTGCTCATCCTGAAGTTGGGTGAATGATGTAGAATAGCTGCTAATATAAAAAAAATATTGTCAAATAGTTGATTTCTTTCTTCATAATGAAAGCAACATCCTAACGATCCTTTTCACCAAAAGATTTTTACATTCTTTGTCCATATCATTTTGGTCCCCATTTGAAACCATAAAGCAATCTCCTAGGCGACATGACTACCTTCTTCACGACAGACCTGTCTCGCAGAATAAATATCATATATTTTCTTTACTAACTTATGTTTTGTTCTGATTTCAATTTTATTTGGTTTCTAGACCTTTTATCTACTCGAAACGTTTTTGCTTTTAATCTGAATCGCTGTAAAGATGAATATACGAGGAAAAATAATTTGTTTTATTATGAAACGGTCCATTTCAACGCTAAATTCGCTAAATGGGAAACGCTGCTACATTTCAAACTCAAAATTATCAATTTTACGTTCCTGGAAACTTTAATCAAATCTACATGGTAGCATTCGTTGAATTTCGATATTTCGTGATGAGTTTACAAAATATATAAATATTTATGACCCTTTACCTTTGTTGACACCTGATTTTATGGACATGCACTAGCTCGGAAGTAGCGATAGAGCAAATTACCGTATACAGGTAGCTCTCTATCGTTTACCAGATGTAATGATAAGTTAACAGGAAATGTAAGTCCGCCCGCTTAGCTCAAGAGATGAGCATATGTTTTATAATCTAAGGGTTGCTGGTTCGATTGCTGAGCGAGGCGGACTTTTTATCAGACAATATATGTCGCACATTGAGTGTATTTTTTATTTGTCTCTCACCGCTGATTTACAAGTAATGTTGAATTGTACTCTCTTTCTTACGAAGAAATTGGTTATTAACGGCAGGAGGTTATGTTGGCCGACTGTCGAGACATGTTGGTGAAAAATCAGTTTAAACTGCATAAAAAACAACAACAGAAAAACAAACTCATATATACGAATTTCTTGGTTTACTACATGTATTGACAAAATTTTCTTATTGGTCAATCTGGCGACATAATTTTAACGCGAGTCTTTTTTAACAAGTGAGGTTTGAATTGTGATTTAACGATAAATGTTCATTAAATGAAGTAATCTTTTTCTGACACCGTCAAAGATATGGCTAATGACGTTTTGGCTAATTTTAAAATCTAAATATGTCATGTAAAATATACGCACCATAAAGCGTCTGTTGTCAGCGCAAATTTACGCACTGCGCCGGGTGTGCGTTACCATAATTTTTAAATTCGCTGTTACGGACAAGCTATTTGCGGTATTAGATTAGAGATAGTGTCAGTTTATAGGTTTTGTTTACCGATTAAGTGTGATATATAACAATAAGTGAAAATTCTTCAATTGACAGCCCAAGTCCGGTTTATTTTTGATCATCCCTCGTAAAGGGGACCAAACATTGTTCACATTATGCATGTTTCAACAAAATCATACATATACACACAAGTTTTTTTTAAAAATCAGATCATTGTTAATAATTACAATTTATAAAACAAAATATCATTTTAAAATCCTGCCAGTTCTAACTTTTCTTCGTAATTCAATGAAATTTTTTAAATTTTCTTCTTGCATTTAATCGGAAAAAAATACAGATTTTTTTTTCTTTTGAAAATATCATTTAGATTAAATCTATTGTTTCAATGAAATACAGTTCAGCTCGTGGGGAATATTAGACACAATCAATGTTTACATCATTCAGTAAACACTCTAACAATTGTATAGAAGGACACATTTTTCTGATTTCCTTAGATCAAGATGTGCATAATACTCATGTTAAATAAGTCGGAAGGTATATAAACTACGTCCGGTTCAGAATATAGATTTCCCGCGCATTACAAATTCCATTAGTCGGTCTATATATAAACACGAAAACTTGATGTTAAGGAAAATACTAAATCTACAGAAGGAACATGTCATCTTATATACCAAACCAAATCTGTATATGGTGATACATTATTTGAATATTAAGTTTGCAGATATTTTATAATGTTAATTCACTTTCATTATGTGATTTATTAAGAAAAATGTAAATCTAAATAAGACATGACGGCAAATGATTTTTTTATAAATACATAAATAGAGATATTGAATGAGTGTAGGTTACTAAGTTCAGTAACTTCGTTCATTTAAATAATACTGTGCATAATATAATATTATTCAACTTGTTCTATAAAGTCTGTATGGAAACTACACTCATTCAATATCATGTGTTGTATTTATTACATCATTTTCATTTGAAGTTAAACGAAAAACAAAAACAACAATCTAAAAATACAAGTATCATAATTAATACATTGGATCTTCGTTTGCTAATAGGTGGATTTATTTTATGTATTATATTATAAGTACAGCCAACAAAATAGAGAAAAACAAAATCCCTAAAGAAAGTCCAACAATAATAAATCACGTTGTTCCACAGACGACATCGAGCTCCAATGACGCGTAACTTAAAGATATACTATGCTCATCTGT